CAGTTGTACTTTTCTACAATCCCATCACACTGTGGGAGAAGTGGCGTTGTCGTTCTTCTTGTTTCTTTTGCTGTTCTTGTATTGCTGCCATCAAGTCTGCTATGCTGTAGTTTGATTTGCCGCTTCTCGTTTCATTTTTCTTTTTATATCCCACTCTCTGACATCAATTTGTTACGTCTCCGTTTGTTAATTGATTTTCCGTAAATTCGTTCCGACGAAACTTTAGCGACACAAGTCCTTACTTAATAAAACTGGTTTATTCTTTCCGAATATAACTTTACGATACACTTAATTTCAACAATCGTGTTAAAACAAATGCTATAACAACGAACATGCTCAACTTCAATAATACTCGCTGACTGCACTCAATTACTCACTGTCTACACACACATTATTGTTCCGTCACGTTGTCACCCTCTTATATACACCAGACTACCCTATATCTAGTAAATGCTAGGGCATTCACGAAGGAACAAGATAGTTCTAGAAACGTGGCATGACACTAGTCACGTGACCTCGCTGACGCAACAGTACTAATGATTCTTATGACCTATCCTCTTGGCAGACTGCCTGCGCCCTTTTTATTCGTTTCTTTGTCATTACTAAAACATCACTTCGTGATCACTTGAATTTTTCTGAATTATCTGATCTCCTTACCTTGTATTGGATAAACATAGCTATTTATACTCCTTCATCATCTCAAAGTTTTTCATCTCATCATTATTTTACCCATTGAGCATTAGTTTGGGAATGCCACTTTTTTTAACCAAGCGGAAGACACTTATGTTGCATGATTAGTTTTATTTTGGTACCTGGAAATGAATCTGCTGACAGTCTTTCTAAGGAAGCTGGAGCTCGTAACAATCGATCGTGACAAAGCCAGAGGTATCGAAACCCGGTTTTTAGATTACATTCATAACTTCATGGAGTAACTGGCACTGGTGGCGAAAATAACTGGATCGAGAAGCATTTCTTTTCCTTTTTTTTCATAAGTTAAGCCTATCGTCCCATTCACACCACGAAATTGAAGTCTAAAATGGATTCCACAAAAACTTGCTCTCAGTAACTGGCACATAATTAATATTGAATTAGAATGAGGAGTATAATCACATTTAAAATGAAATTTATTTTATCGAGAGAAAAGGAGATATCAACAGAAGAGGGCAGAGTACAGATAGTACTTTGTGCTTAACTACAAACAAACAAACCGATGTTTTTCAAATCGATTGGTATCTATCTTAGATGACGACTGACCAACGTAAGAGAGTTCAAAGCAGAACAGTGAAACTAACTTACGAGATATCACTCACAGTGAAAATTGTAATTTTGGATATCGCCCTTTATTTTTATTTCTCATGGAACTTCTAGTTCTACTTTAGTTTTAAGAAATAATATTTTTATAACTTATTTAAAACTCTTGTGTAATTTTTTATTTCTTATATTATGTCAATACTTCAGCAATATTTGTTAAAATTAAATAGTTTCACCTCCTCATACAAGTTTCAAGGGTAGCTATGATATACGAAGCTCAAGTTTTGTCTCTACACTACTAGGCGGCCTATTTGGAGTTTTGATGCACGTGGGTTTCATGTTTTCGATTACATTGCGTTAACTTTTAGTCGTTATATTGTAAACATTCTTAATTTTTAGTCCTTGGATATTTTATTTGTTTATTTTTATCAACTATTGAGAGTAACGTTGTGCAATCTACAAAATTAACACATCGACATTATAAAAGAATTAATTTTGAAATTCAAATATTTAGTTAAGCCTAACTACTATTACTATCTGAAAATGAAATTATTGTTAATCGGTATTAATATTACTGTTAGTGCATTGATACTAATATTGTAGTAATAATAATTAAACTTTCAAGTAACATAGTGTGGAGTGTAATTTTAAAACAAATCTGAAAAACCTGGACATTCTAATGAAGTATTGTAAATTTTAATGTAATTGAATTGAAACGTCGATATTTATCCCTTTACTGTTAGTGTTAATAATAGTTTTAGGTTTTTCCCAAGCCAAGGATTTAAAGGAGGCATAAAAATAAGATCACACATGCGAGCTTATTTCCTTCCTTCATTTTAGCACTAGTACTTGTAGTACTACTAAGTCAACAGATGTGTGAATATTGAAAATTTGCTAACATTATTCCTATTTTTGAAGGAGGTGATCAAAGTTGCCCCAGAAGTTATACTGATTTATAAAGCTGTTTGTCTTACTTTTGTAGTGGGAAAAATTCCACAGTCCAAAGTCTGATAAAATAGGTTTTACAAAATCATTTAGTGAAAATATATTGTAAGTGAAAGCCACTACAGATTTAAGAAAGGGAAGGCTTGCCTTTAAAATATTTATATATATATATATATAATTTCTTGAGGATGTTACTTGGGTGTTAGTGTTTGGACAAGGCATTCTTAGATTTTCAAAAAGGGTGGTTGGATAGGAGAAAGCAAAAGGTTGTGAATAATAGAGTTCAATCAACCTTATTTCTAGTGGAGAGCCTCAGAGGTCAGTGTTTGAGCCTTTGCTTTTCTAGAAATTTACATTAATGTTGTTAATAGGGGGCATAATTAGTAAATTTTACTAAGGACATTAAACTCTTGAGTATTTCTAACTGTTTTTAGAATACTGAAGTATTGCAAAATGATTTTGATCAGTGGTAAGTTTAGTTAGTTCAAAGTGTTGCATAATTTGAATCATACAAGGCCACTGAATATAATGACTGAAGAAAAAGATATTGGAATAATAGTGGATAAAGCATTCAAGCCATTGGAGCAGTGCTCTTTTACTAGTACTAGTGAAGCTACTACAAGTATAGGGTTTACATACAAATAAAAAAAGTAATTATCCCTATACAAGGCACTGGTTAGGCCTCATTTAGAATACTGTGTACAGTTTTGGTCTCATACCTAAGAAAGGATACTGACTTATTGGAAAGGGTTCAGAGAAGTTAAGATTTGTTAACATATTTTCTCTTGAGAAAAGAAGAGTAAGAGTTGATCTTTTTTTGCAGTTTAAAGGATTATCTAGGGGCTTACTAGGATAAAGGCCTTTGATTTCTTTGTGGTGTATTCTGAGGACAAATGGACTCAAGTCTAAGATTTGGAAAAAGACAGGCTGGGTTTCAGTTAAGACAGTTATATTTTTCTTAGAGGGTGACTGGCTTGCTCCGTGACTTGCAAGTAGTAGTAGTGGGTGGAGACCAGCACATTAAAGAAGTTTAAGAGGGGAATTGATGATTTTCTGAAAAATAGAGTGGGTTTAAGATTTTATTCTTCTCAAGCCTTGAAGGTCCAACTTTTTGTCTGTATGTTAAACTATTTTTGTAGGTATATCAAATACTGTTACTTAGGTCATTTTAAATGATCTAAAATGTTAACCAGTAGGATTTAAACATTATTACTAGTATTAGAAACACTATTAAAGTATTAACTATTATGTATCAGTATTTCATGCATAATACAATACTTAGATTCATTGGAAAGTTTTCTTTCAAGTCTTTGTGAGGAACAAAGCAACACAGTACTTTTTATCATTTTCTCGTGTTATGAAACCTATATTTATCACTATATATATATATATATATACATATATAAATATATATATTAAGAAAAATTGTGAAAGACAAATGTGATTTTTTATTTCATGAAATTAAGAGAAATTTTACAAAAAAAAAGAATTGAAATATCTTGTGGAAAGATAGTCTAACAATTTTATTTTATAGGGCTTGACAAAACCACTTTGACATTGACATTAAAATTTCTGAAGTTATTCTGCCAATTATTCAATGAAGTTATGAATGTAATCTAAAGACTTGTGTTTACTAATTAAGATGAATAAAATTGTTTTTTAACTTTAGTCATCCACAGTTAAGCAATTATCATGTATATGAGTCTGGAACTAGCAAATTGCAACAAGTGTGAAGAAACATCATCAAAACTCTGTAACTATCTTTAGACTTTTAGTTCAAGTATAAGTACAAGTAAGTCATATTTACACAATAGTTTTTATTTTCTTCTCAGTTTTGAAGCTATCTCCTAATACTGCTGAAAATATAAACGTAAAATGATTGAAGCAAATGCCACTTTAAATATTCCAAAAGGAAGGCCAAAATCAGGACGTGTATGGAAAAGTGAAAAGAAATGGTGAGTTGTGTAAGTAGTACGTTACATAACTGGGAATGATTTTTGTTTCTATTGCAAATGTGTATTTTTTCCAAAGAATCTGGTCAGTCTTTGTGAATAAACCAGAATATGGAAAAATTACATTTTAATTACAATAATCTTAAAGACATTTGGAAAGATCTTGTTTGAGATGAAATTTAATGTAGTGGGGGAAAAAAATAAGGTTTTATATAAGATTTCTTTTCAATCAAAGATAATGATCTTTCAAGAGCAGAATTCTTTAATAGAATTAAGCAAATAAATGAAGTAGAAATGCTTTCTAAACTCTTACTAACTGGATTTATTTTACAACATTTTGGCCTTAGACCCATTTCAGGCAAAGAACAGATCTGTTTAAGATGGAGAATTCCAAGTCCTCTATTGAGTGATTTGCTGAGGTAAAAAGAACTGATAGAGTTATTGGTTTTATTTAAAGGAATTTTAACATAAGATCAAAAAGGTATTGTAAGTAACCGTATACAAGATTGGTAAAGTTTCATTTGGAACATTGGGTGAAGTTTGATCGTCTTTTTTTTTTTTATAAACATGTTGAAAGAGTGCATGACTTAACTGATACTTGGTTGAGGTTGTTTAAGTTATGAGGAGAGGCATGAAACTTTGAAAATGTTTTTTTTTTGTGTGTGTGTGACTACTTTGGTGCTCAAGAATTATTATGGATTTGGAAAGTTTTATTTTGGGTAATCTGTTTTAGTGGTATAAGTAAAGTGATGAATTTGTAAATACAAACCTGAATAGTATTGAGCTTAATAACCCTAATGCACCTTTGTTTTTCAACAAAATTGTTTGGGTTGAGTTGTAGGCTTTTGAAATCATGATCTGTTCAATGATGTGAAGTGTGCCATTTGAGTTTTTTTTTAACACCATCCATACCTGCAGTTTGGGTAAGCTCACATAGATCAGGAAGAGATGATTCATTGAAGAAATATTTGTTTTTGGTTCCTTTTTTTTTTTTTTGAGAAATATTGTTGGCCAAAAATATGACAATTTAGCCTATTTTTAGTAGTAGACCATTGTATGTTCCAAATTTATGGATCAAAATTGCTGATGACTGCTCCAACAACTGTTAAAATTCTAACACTTCTAGTTCCAAATGGAACCTTAATCTTGATAAATGTTCAACATGCTGGCATTGTGAATGTGATGCCTTATCAGTTTCTGCGAAATTGAGTCAGAGACATGGGGGGGGGAGCAGCTAAAAGTTGTATTGGCAAGTACTAATAATCCATTGTAGAAAAAAATAACCACGGCCAAATTACAGTGAGAATATCGTGAATGTCAATGATGAAATTGTACGTGATAGAAATTGCAATATAGATTTTATTGATAATGATATCTTGGCTTTAATTGAAGATGATGACGACAAATAAAGTGATTACGTCATGAAAGAAAGCAAAAATGTATTAGATATTGGAGACGTTTTAGGAGTAGATGTTTTTGTGATGAGAAATTTACCAAGTTTAAAATCATGTGATTCCGGATGCTTTAATTCTATTGATAAAGTATAAGCACCTTCAGAATTTCAGTACTAAAGGAAATATGTTCTATTATCATATCCAATGATGTGGGAAAAGAAAGTGTCAAACTGTAAAAGAAACCAAATAAATCATGTCCGTATATAATTGAAGTACTATCAAAACTTGTGCTGCATTATATTCAATGAAAGATGTTTTAGCTCCATTGTATATTTTATTACAAAATAGCAAAAATATTATTTCTGTTTGTACAAAATTGATATCAAAACCCAATAGCCTATCTGATGTTTTAGCTTGATTCAGTAGCTTTTAAATGCATTTTGAATGATACTGTTTACAATTGCAGTGCTAGTTATACTAATATGTATCTAATATTTGTTGATAAATTGATCTTTAAATAGCCTTATCTTCATCTATTCCTAAAATTTTGCTCTAAAATGCAAACTCTGTGAAATCCTTATCGTTAGTACTTTTCTTTAGTGTCATTTCTGTAATGAGTTTCCGAGATCAATTTTTGATGATCTTAATACTAGTAAAAAATGTTGGATGCACCAAAAATAACAGCCCTCTTCTTATTGACATTATCACTTTCCTTACATAGCCATTACACTTTCCTGACAAACTCGTGATGGGACAAGATACTATACCTGAAATTGGGATTGGTGGCAACAATATGGCGATTTATTGCATATAAGTAGCATTTGTTTGCATGTTTTTGTGGGTGAATAGTAATTTTTTAGGTGAGTGAGTGACATTTTATCTCTGTGCTTTTCCGTATGTTCTTTGGTTAAGTGAATAAAATATAATATAGCTGCTGTTGAGCATTTATTGCTTGTCGAGTAGTAGTTTATAGTTTAATAAAAACTTAAGTATTATACAAATGAAAATTTAATTTAGGAAGACAAACCAATTTGAAGTTTCCTGACAGAAAAAAGAACATAAAAAATGGGTAACAGACTATACACGTTTTAATGAACAGAATTTTTTTTCGAAAGTCAACTGATGTGAGGATACATGGCAGTACAGTTATTAATACAGGGGTTCAGCATTAATTCCATTTTGTGAGTGGTATTGCTTACTTTAATGTATTAAATAAAAGATAGATACTTATTCATATAAGCATGAATGTCTCTCTGTCTGTGGGTCTGTTTCTTATGCATGGCCACATTTTTAAAGCTATAAACTCCAAAACTCGGGGTATAGATACAGCTTTGTGTGAGAAGTAAGATGGGTTATGTGGCCGCTGCCTCAGAGGCTGCAATTTGAGGCTAAAGTGACCAATATACCAATTTTTGGCAAACAGGATGACCAATTGGTCTGAAATTGAGAAGGATGGATTTTTTGGTAATGTGTGATCAAGAGGGCTATTATTTACATTTCTTCTCTGTGTGAGGACTTCTCCTAATCATTCTATTCATGATCAATAATATGTTAAAATGAGTTAAAAACTTAACACAGCCTTCATTTGTTTCTCTTCTCTCCCCCTCTCTCTGCTCTTTCCTTCTGCACATACATGCCTACTCCCTAACCTCCCCTTAACTGAAAAAGGCTGGTGTTTTCTTCAAACATGCATGCATGCTCCCTCAACTAAATAAGCTTGCATCAGCCATATCTTTAGCTTTGCTTGTGTATACTTGTAAGAATCAGCTACACGAGTTTATTACAAAAACATTTGGTATCGGCAAGTTTTAATTTATGTTGTGTTGCAATGAGAACAGAATAAATCAATTCTTCATTAAATGGCTTTACAGTAGATCAATAAACTAGCATGTAAATATAGAACTAAATCAGTTACAGCCATTTTCATCCAAGCTATACTGAGTAGTCTGCTAGTATTAAATAAACACAGGGTTAACTGATAACTACACAGAAATTTGGACCTTTATAAATCAGAATCAAATGATGGTCCAGATAAATCCCGATAAGGAAAATAATCAAAAAAATATTTTCAGATAGCATATCTTGATGTAAACCATGATCATCCTCACATAGTGCAAAATTGTACTTATTGTCAAACTTTCCCATGCATCTTTACATAGTTATGTGTTCAAGAAGGTTGTGATCTTGACACTTAACATCGGGTGATGGTATTCAGGTAATGTACTTTGAATTTTTTTACTTAGTTTCTCAACTCTGAAGTATGACAAAGCTGTAAAAATATCCTGGAAAGAGAAAATGAAAAAACGTGTTGAGCAGAAAACATTAAAATTGTATGAGGAAGAACTTAAAGCTGCCAAAAGGAAAGAAATTGAGGTTAGCATCCTGTGAAGTTAATTGCTCTTTTTTTAATTTAAGGTAGTTTAAGTTTTCAATGAAATAAAAAAAATGTGTGCAGAAAAGTATGATATATTGAGCTAAAGAGCAAGTGTCATACACTTGGCATTTTCAGCAGTTCAATGACATTTTTTTTTCATTATTAAAAAATATAATTCTTTAGTGGGCATTTTTCTAACTGAAAGAACATTAGAAAATCTTAGTTTTATGTTAGTGCTTATTTGAACTTGTGAATGATAAAACATGCTCATTAAGGTTATCATTATTATTAGAACATCTTTAGTACAGAAATATCTAGATACGCACAGATAGTGGGCTTACACTACGTAAAAAAGTTATCAATCTTAAATGGAGTTCTTTTTCTACATATATGTCTACATGTTAAGAGTTATTATTTGTTTGTCTTGGAAGAAAATATTATCTATTTGTAATATTTATTTTAAACCTTTCATAATTAAGATATCTATTGATATGCTAAACATTATTTTCATTTGAAAAGGTAAGTAAATGGCTTTGTTCGTAAAAATATGTCATGTATTTCACTTGCAGAATGTAAACAAGTCTGAATATTTATAAACTTAAGAGACCAAATTCATTGACTTCTGAATATGATTTTTGTCATGATAATTAGGAAAAGAAACAAAGACGAGAAGAACATCGTAAAAGAAGAGAAGAAAACCAGAGAAAGGCTGAAATAGTGCAAGTGGTAAGTGATCCTATATTATGTACTTAAAAAATGTAATATTATTTTGGCCAAATTGAAGTTTTGGTCTTTACAAAGTGCCAGGATTTGAAAAGTTGTAAACAGTTTAAATTTTTCTGGCCCTTAATAAATCAGCTTAAACTTATATTTGATTTAATTGTTTAACCCTTTATCATCTCCACCTGTATGTATATGTCATATGTATCACATGCAATTTAAGTGCCTGTGGTTAAGGTGTTGCTATGGTAACGGGAAAAAAACCTTTCCATGGTTGATAAGCGGTTAAAACATATTATTGGGAGCTTCAAAATTCCTCAATAAATCTTTAGGAAATATTTTATTTTTCAGATCAGAAATTCTGCAAAAATTAAAAGAATGTCCAAAAAGCAACTGAAACACATCAGGAAGCAAGACACAAATCCTTCTTGAGAAATATAGTTCTTTTATTTCAATTTGTACAGGTGCAGTATTGAATTAAACGTTTTTGCATAGTCCTTTGTATCTATATATATCAAAATGTTTTTATTCAAACATTCTTCAAGCTCGATGTTAGAAGGTATTACAGGATTGAGTAGCCCAAACAAGTAAGATATGTTACCATCGTTTTGTTAATTAAGTTTAATCTTTATCTTGGGGAAAGTTTGTTCTGCTGGTGCTTCATTTTATTAAAGATTTCAGGTTTTTTTTTGCCTCACAATATGGGTACATAAAATATACTGTAATGAAAGCTAGAGGTGTTAATTTATTATTTGGTGCAAAAGATTTCAAGGGAATGAAAAACTTTTTAAAATTAGATTTAATGAATATTTAATAGGACAACACCCAAAATATTGCTTGTGATAAGACATCTGAGGAAGTTAATTTTGTTTTTTATGCACTCTTTAGTACTTCAGGACAACTTCAACAAAAATATGGTTAAAAACCACAGACTTACTAATCTGTCTCGTTCTACTGTCATTGGAAATTGCTGTATTCACTGACTTAGGCCTCACTGGATTAATTTATTTAGGTCATCAAAATTGTTGCTATTCAATATAATAATTGTATCTTAAGAAAAAACAGATGAAAGGTATGATTCTTATATATTAAACTAATATTCTCATCATAGAAGCAGATGTTTTAAAATTATTAAGAAGTTTACATTAAATAGTGTTAATAGCTCAGTGAGTTTTTATATTAAGATAAGAACAAGATTACAGTCAGAAGAGGTTTGTAGGCTCTGTCGAATGTGGCCTAGTGGTTAACGGTTTAGTCCTGCCAATGTTCAAATCTCGTTATTTGGTTAAAACAGACCAAGATTTAGCAGTGTTCATTAACTATCTTCTCTCCAGTTTTTTGATAAAAAAAAATTAGAGATGGCTAACTCGGATAGCACTTATGTTGCTTTGCACAGTACCCAAAACATTAACCACTTATGTTGATTCTGAACGTAGCTAGATCTCTATTTGAACATTTTTTCTTTCAATCAAAATAAAAATTGTGTAAAAAACTTAAGTTTCACTGAGTTTTGAATTATCCCTACTGTTAATTACGTGTTTAACCATATTTCATGCACAGGGTTTTTGTGCTGTTGAATGAAAATAAGGATGAGAAAAAATATAAACACAAATGATTTTTAAAGTTTATCTTTTTCCACTATTTTTTTGTGTTAGTTCATCAACAGACTTGAAAAACTGGTACACAGTAAAGCACTCTTGATTCACAATATAATTTAACAAAACATAGTCGTATTCTTTATACACTTACATTAGTGCATTAAAGCAAAAAATGTGTTCACTCTACAGAAGCTAATCTGATGTAATATCTTACTTTTTCTTGCCATGTACACCTAATGGGAAAACGTCCACTTTCTAAAAGTGCCCGGGTTTATTGGGATTTTTCAGAATTTAGGTACAGTTACATGACCGAGATGTATTATTAACTTGAGTTCCCAACTGTATTTAAGGATTGAAACATAAAATAAAGGGATAGAATTAATGAAAATAATAAGTAATTACTACAGCATTTTGACGCGTATCCATGTTATTATATCTCGTCACTGAACTCACTCTTTCATTCAATTAAAAAAGAAAGAGGGGTGGGTGTGGATGGCATTAATTTGGGAAATGCTGGTTTATGGTACTTAAACTTAATTGATAGGATGACATTATGATAATTTCTATTTTTGTATGCAACGTAATATGGATGTGAATTTAACTTACACTATTAGGTTTTATGTCCTCCGACTGATGTTTATCTAAATAAAAATCGGTGATTCCAGAATTATTTCAGTTGTCCGTTACTATTTATGTCTTACTTAAAACATGGTTGAGATCATAGAGGAGCGGATGCATTAAAAGTCAACTGTTTTCAGACAAGCATTGTTAAATTTAATGCAAAAAATTGCATGTAATTTTATGTTTTACAAGTAAAACACTGTTTGTTACTTTACTTTCTCATTGAACTAATTTAGTGCAAGATCTTTTTATTAAGATATTTGTATAATAATAAAAATCAGATCAGAGCAAACTACTACCTAATAATGGTTTGAAATGTATATTTGTGTCAGTGTAAATTACTTGTACCTGATGATGTCGAAACGTTGTACATTTGCTGTTGTATTAAAGTTTTTCTTCATTACCGATTCAAGCCATTTGCAACCAGTATTAGTCTCAAAGTGGGTTGCTCGTCATCAAATTTGAAACTACTACCTATTTAGATCAAAAATAAAAATCAACCCTTTGATGAGTATAACTAGTTAAATATGCTGCTCTTACTCATAAGACTTATCATTGTTTCTTCATTTGGGGACCCTCACTGTTGGAGTTTTAAGGCACATATTACATTTTGTTAACACTTACGTAATTCTTTATGATAATGGCAAACCTTGTTATTACATCTCAGATGCTGCTACATCCGCATTTCCATCACTCTTCTATTTAACGTCTGTATAAGAGCTCAAACTACTTTTGTCAAGAGAGAAGAATTTAAATCAAAATGCTTTTGAAAATTAAACTTTAAGCCTAATTTTTTTTGGACGTCAAATGGAATCTAGGTTTGCTTTTCATTATATTGACCAAACAAAGTATTACTTATAAGAATGAGATTTATACAATACATAAAAAAAACTATTACACAAACACTCCTTTTAGTTAGCACAGCCCTCTGTCATTTGATTATGTTTTTATTTTTTTTTCAATTACTTGTGTGAAACTATACTTTGGGGTTTATTGATTAAGGTAATAAAAAAAAAGATTATGGCAGACTTTAGTTCTTACATTCAAGCTTTATAAAGAATTTTTAAGAGTGATTAGGTTATTTTATGCTTAAATTATAAAGTTCTTCCTACAAAATTTAGCATCTACTTGAAACTATTATATTTTCAAACCAACTGTCATGTACAAAATCATGTGTAAATGTAAATTAAAGATTGTGACCTTACATTTTTTTTGACAAAAAATAAAATACATCCTGTGTTATTCAGTTTTTATCTAATTTTCAATTGCTGTTATTGTGTTTACCTATTTACATAGTCTATAAATGTATTCAATATTACAACCATATAACCCTGACCACTTTCTAAAGTGAAGATTTCTTCATTAGTCATATTTGTGTGGACTATTTTCTACAAAGTTTTATAGTTTGTAGTTAAGCCATTAATAAATATATTTTAAAAGTCTCCGTATGATGCATATTTCAATTTTCTTACCTGTTGTCTTTATAGTTTTAGTAATATCTCTTAGGAATCTTACAGCTTTTAAAAACTTAATGCGTCAAAGTAGTCAAGTTCTTTTTCAGAACTTTACAGGCATTAAAATTCAAAATTTTCATATCAGGCAGGCAGATGGGAATTATTTCTTATGAAATTTACGTGACATGACACGTTTTTTTAATGTGAAAAGGTAATAAATATTCACAGATATGTTAACTTCAAGAGAAAGTTTATCTAAAATAGAGTGAAAAATGTATACTAATTAAAAGTGCTGCCAGGTGTACAAACTACTTTTCAGTCTGAAAACCACAACTTGTTTATCTTAATTTCAGAGCTTATATCATCAGCTTACAGCTGTACGTAGATTAAATGCTATTATATCCTATACAGATTATTAGAATTATTGGAAATGTGATTGTTCGAGAGAACTTTTTCAGTGTACTAGTGTATAATGTTGAGAACTTAAAGGGTTTGTTTGTTTGTTATGGATTTCGCACAAAGCTACACAAGGGCTATCTGCACTAGCCATCCCTAATTTAGCACTGTAAGACTAGAGGGAAGGCAGCTAGTCATCACCACCGCCAACTCTTGGGCTACTCTTTTGCCAACAAATAGTGGGATTGACCATCACACTGTAATGCCCCCACAGCTGAAAGGGAGAGCATGTTTGGTGAGACGGGGATTCGAACCCACGACCCGCAGTTTGCGAGTCGAGCACCCTAACCATGCCGGGCCACATTTCCAAAGGGAAAAGTTTTTAAATTTCAGTTGAACTTAGAACATTACACAAGAACCTTTAGGTGAATAAATATGTCTGTTTACAAGGATAAAAGTTGATGTTTGTACAGAGAAATAAGTTATAATTATGTTACAGATAACTTCATTTTAAACTCTCTCTACTTCTACAGATGTAGAATCCATTAGAACAGTATAAAGTTCCTGTCAATAATGATAATATTGTTCAAAATTTGATTATGGCAAAAAAAAATGTATGATAATTTTTATTAGAATTCAAACACCTAAGTATGATATCAAGAGTCTATAGAATATTTAAAAATCACTTGTACTACAATGGAATGGTATAATCTGAAACTCGTAAGAAAGGAGTTTCAAGTCTCTTTTAATGTAAGGTGCAATTTCTTGCTTGAGTTTCTTGAAGTCCATATACTTTAGAGAGATCTCTGCTACATATACTACTAAGAAAATAACTATCACTTAAAATGTTATTAGAATATAATATCCTGCAGGGTTTCATTTTTCACACGAAACTTCTTTCCAGCTGTCCATTTAGCTGAAAAAAAAAAATTAAACCAGAGTTCCTCGAACCTCTCTTTCTTAGCTAGTGCAAGATCTACTAAACATTACTTCCTGTTAGTCCTATGCATATGGATTTCGTCAAAACGACTGACCTTGTAAACACAATGTAAGCATGAAACTATAAATCCTCTAACTCTGAATATCGTAGTGTATCTTCATGGAATGTAACAAGCTTTCGTTGAACATTAAAAGTCTGATGTACAAAAAAATCAGATTTTTTTAGTCAAGGTTTGTCTGTGAATTTACAATACTTTTACTGAGTGAAAAGCAAGTTTGCACTCAAGTGCCTACTGTTATAACTAGGCCTATGTTGGTTGTCCAAAAAATTAAAAGTACATCACTCACCAGGTTAGAATGTATGAAAACTAATGTAATTTTATCTGGTTTTTCTAACTTGTAAATGAATAGGTTAAAAAATTTTATTACTTCTCCTAACGACATCATCAGTACAAACGCATCATACTCTGACAGTAAATGATCAACTTTTATCTGTCAGGCAAAACCGATGATCACGTGATTAACGTAACGTACAGTTTGCTCTTTCTATTGATTGTAAACATTTTTTAAAGTACACATACATATATACAGAGAGAGAGAGAGACAGTTAATGATGTAGATCAAGTACAGTAACAAATTACAGTACTGTTGATACACGACATAAAAGCTAAACATCTTGTATCTAATTTTAACCAGTGAAAGATTTAATATATCAGAGATGTAACTGATATTTATTCTTTGTTGACATATTTACAATGACCCAGATTTAAATAACTTATTGAACAATTACATGTAATTTTTACTTCTCGTAAAGTTATATATTTACTGAACTATAAAAAAAGAATGATAGTGCTTGGTTTGGGGTGGGATATTATACAGGGTTTCAAATACACACACACTTGGTTTGGGGTGGGATATTATACAGGGTTTCAAATACACACCATTTAAGTTTTTAAGGCTAATAAAAATCGACTTTCCACTTGTTCACTAAAATTTCTTCTCTCGTTGTTAATTACTGTGTAATCATTTTCCTTTACAGCATCAACTCTACCAAGACTACCTGCATCAGAGTGTTGCAGAGCACGACCTTTGATCCTTTGTTGTAGACATAGCCGGCCACTAACGTCATCATTCTAATATGAATTAATATCTACAGCGAAAGCATTTAGTATTTTTTTTTTAAATCTGTAAATTACTCTATTGATTGGTTGTAAAGTGCTTTATTGGAATAAAAATTTTAAATGTACATTCCAAGTCCATACCAAAATGGTATTTAAAATTGTTTTTTTTTTAGATACCTAAAATTTTGTGTGTGTATATACACACACACACACTTTTGGTTTGGGGTGGGATATTATACAGGGTTTCAAATACACACACACTTGGTTTGGGGTGGGATATTATACAGGGTTTCAAATACACACACACTTGGTTTGGGGTGGGATATTATACAGGGTTTCAAATACACACACACACTCTGGAAGGTATATGTATGCTTTATTTTCAAAATTATAAGGAAATGTAAACATCCATTTTGAAAAATGCAGAGTTAGGCTTATTCTTAGAGTTTGTTTATACTTCACTGACTTTTGGAAACAATATTTACGACTTTTGAAAACAATATTTACGTTGCAAAGAAACATTATCATATTACATCTTAGTATAAAACCATACTTAACTATTAGCTGCATTATATTGGTCACAGTCAAAAAGAGGTTAGTTGCATAAACTAGTTTACATATACCTATATATTACTAAAAAACAAGTCTCTAAAGTATATAAACATAGAGAATAAAGAACCATTTATGATGAAAACTATTGCTGCATTGGTAATACATTTTCTAATGCACTATAAAGCATACAGACTAATCAACACAATACAATAAACTATCAAATTACTCACCTTCTTCACTTTTACCACGTTTTGTACATAATCTCGTTTTTCTAATAAGGCCCGTTTTTCTTTTCTTGAGAGGGTACTCTTTAGTCTTGTTGAAAAAAACAAAATACTTCTTTAAATCAAATTTCACTTATCTAGAGCTTCTTTGTTATGTGCAAACATTGCCAGGATTCTGGCTTTGTATTATAGGCTAATCTGTGGTAGCAAACTAGACTACAATGAAAAGTTACAGTTTGAAAGCTGGCAAAGTAACGGAATCCAAATAGACCTAATACTTGTTATAGAAGTCACTTAAGACTATATATATATATATTTCACAATGTTCCTCTCAATCTGTCCAATACAGATTTCAAACCAGTACTGTGTAAAAATAGCATTTCAGTTTGTTATTACTGTCTAGAAAACCTTTCATTCAATACCAAACAAAAATTAATCCTGATTACTATTTATATATGTAGTTAGAATTTGAAATAGTAACTTTGAAATTCTTATACTGCATTTATATAAGTAACATTTTGTGTACACTTTTATTGTAGGTAGTAACTTGTGGAGACGGCAAAAAAAAAAGTACTGATTCTACACAGTTTGGATTTGAAACCTTTAATAGACAAATTAAAATATTTTCAGTCTAAGTGATTTTTTGTGACTAATATTAGGCTTATTTCATTTAATAAAATATTATATTTTGCAAAGGATAAGTTTATAATACTTAACTTTCTTGGCACATATTAAAAAAGGCCAATAAAAAGCATGTGGACTTCTCACATATTTTTGCTCAACTTACCTAACCATGTACTTAGCTATTAAAAGCAGTAAAACAGAAAGGGCCAACAGAATTCCTAAGGCATA